ACACTTCGTATTTTCACAGCCACCAAAATTTTAAATAAGTCAGGACAGTTGAGTTAGTTGCAGGGGTCCCTGTATTCATCTGTGCATTCATTAAGAATGGATGCTATTTAATTAATTGTACGTTAAGAGATTACCTCCCTTCTCCCAACACAGTAAAGTATTACTCCATGTTACTTGAAATTTCCAAGCAAGCACAAGGAGTTTTGGAGGAAATCAGAGTCAACATCTATCTATCTGAATATTGGCAGAAGATCTAGCACTTGTTCAATTGAACATCTTCAGAAGCCTTTGCTGACATTAGTTTGTAAAGACTTGAACTTCGGGATTCTGTCGATACCTGTTTGGATAACTCAGCACTCACTGTGCTTAACTGAGTCTGAACTCGGAATTGATTGTTGGTGCATTGCTACCCTTAGGTCTGGCGGGAATTTCCTGACCGGTTGGTGGGTTACCCAGGTCGTTTGCATCTTTGGGACCATGAGACAAGCAAGTGGAAGTATGAGTCTGAGTGGACTAACGAGGTGTCCATGGTGCTCACGGGGGCAGCTTTCTATCACAAGGTAAGACAGGGGCAGGTTTGAGGCAAGTGGGTCTGAGTTGACATAACTGAGTATGATACTCATTTTATTGGCCCAATTTAATTTTTGCTGAGTTTGGGAGAAATGTTCTACTCAGAGGGCTTAGAAAGTTCATGTTGTATGATATTTTTTAAAAAACTAAAGTTATTAGTTTTCTAGTTATAAATAATACATGCTCGTAATAGAAAATGTGGAAAATTTAGAACAGATTTTATCATATAAGAAAAGTCACTGTACATCACTTAGAACTGTTATTATTGTTTAGATGTTTTTTCCACTTTGCCTTTTATTTATTATTCACCTATATACAATTATAAATATTCTCGTTAACCTGCTTCTTTCATGTATTATATTGCAAGCATTTTCTCATGTCATTAACATTTCTTCATAAACAATTTTTTTCTTAACATAGTTGCTAATATACCATTATATTAGTATTCCATAAATTATGTTTAACTATTATTCTATCATTGGGTATTTAGGTTGTTTTTAACTTTTTTGCTATTTTAGATAATGCTT